CCCCAAAACCCCAAAACCCCAAAACCCCTTAAGGTAAGGCTTAAAGCAATCGAATAAGATGTAAAATAAACCAATAAAAATCATAGACAGTATAGGATTACCATAGAATTAAATTTATCCTAGAGTGTCAATTTCCATTTCATTATATTCGTTTTTAACCATTTTTTATTGCAGTAAATAATCATTATTGATTAGACCTTAATCTTGAAAATAATTTGTATTAATACATCATTCAAAACAATAGGACCCCTTTAAGGTCTATAACTCAAAATCACATTTTGAGTTTAACCTCTTTTACTTCATTCTTGAATTTCTATTATCAAAGGCAAATCTAAAATCTTAAAGATCATCTAAGCACAAGTTGTTATAGTCATTCAGCTTCTTATTAGTGATGAAATCTTGTGTAAAATTGAATAGCTATAATTGATCGCTTGAGGCAAGGTAAAATTTCTCTTTGAAGTTGCAGGATTAAATAAGCTATGGAGGATTACTCATTTTATTAGCTGTGTTATATTAGATATTTATGTGTGCTTTATTCTCAAGCTGGTAGTTATCAAGCACAGTAAATAATGTAATATCGAAGGTGTTACTAGGTTTGTTCAAATCCTGAGAGACAAGAATTATACCACCAATGTCATCAATTTAATGTAAGCTTTTTATTTTTCTAACAAGCATGTTATCTATCTTGAGATTAAGTATTTCACTAATCATTTTTTGCTGCTATTAATACCTGTTGATTCTCAATCTTTCTATTTAGTTGATCTCAACAAAAGCAAGATTTTTTAAGGTTTTTCCATAGCCTCCAAATACATATATGTTATCATCTATAACTATAGACTAAGCTTTGATTCTAGGTATCTCAAGTGATCCTACAATCTACCATTTTATATCCTTGGGATCTTAGAAGTCTAATCTTTCTATTGATTAAGCTATCTAAAAGTCTTTTGAATTCTATCCACTTACTGCATAAATATTCAGTTCTTAATAATTTTTCTCTTTTATATATTAATAGCATAGTGAATAGTCTTTTCTTGGAGTATTCATTCTAAGTGTGCAGTCGAGATTATTAAAAGTCATGTTATCTAGGTCAAAAAAGCTAAATAATTCTTTTGATTCAGCACAATTAAGTGATTAGTAACCTCCAGTTTGATTGATCTAGAAATGGATAAACACCTTTCTAATCTCTCTTATGTTTAAGTTACAAAAGCTTTAAAAATTTACATCTAAATCAGCAAACTCAAACTAGCATGATTTTTTCTATGGATCAATACTAATAATTTGATTTAGACTTAAGTTTAGATGTTTTTCCTTAGGGTAAATAACATTAAATTCCCCTGATAGATTCTATAACTCATTTTAAATCAAAGTGTCATCAATCTGCTTGGTACTATACCTAATTCTTTGTTTCATGTATTCGCTTACCCCTTCAAAGAGCTCTCTCTATCTCAAGTTTATATCAATATCCTTTTGCTTTATATCTTCAACAAGATTTTAGATGCTATCCATAGTTTGCCTTAGATCCCTTGAAAAACGAATTTCCTCATCAATGCTTCGAATCTCTGAGACGTAATAAGCCAGAGATTCCTGTTCTTCATGATTTTTCTTGATTTGCTATTCACAGCCCGTTTTGAATGGCTACATTAGATCTCTTAGCTTTTATCTCTATTAGGACTTTAGCTTTAAAAGAATCTGTTGTATCTTATTAAAGTGTTCTTCAATTTTATCCTATTCTTTGCGTTCATATTTGATTAGTTTCTGATACTCTTCAATTAATTCTGTTTACTCCTAAATTAGCAAATCTTGCTTAAGGTTAATATGACCCCTTATTTGATCTAAATCCTGCTTCATATTTGAACCTGTACCAATTATTTAGTTTATTATCAATATTTTAATGAAATTGCCTTACAAGTGTTAAAGATCTAATAAGTGTTAGTCTAAATATGTGAGTAATTGCTATACATTGACAGACTTAAAGATTTTACGCAAAAATTAAATTTTATTTTCTCAACATCTACTAATAGCTCTATTTAAACACTGGGGTTTTGGGGTTTTGGGG